CAGTATATTAGATTGATGTTTTGCCTGTAAGAAGATTATGTCATTGATCTGGGCAAAGTTTCCCACCAAAGAGGTGCGTTGTGTTACAGTGATCTTTGGCTAAAATGTTCTTAATTTAATATGGGACTGAATGTTGTCAAAGGTTATGGGAAACAGTTCTAGGCTTTTTATGAGTGATCGTAAGCTCGTATTGGAATCTTGCTTTTGGGAAATTCTTATTGGTTATTATTCTGTGCTGTGTCTGACTGTCTAGTTATTATTCTCATCCGAGTCTGTGCAAATCTATTAATGTGGGGATGTTTGTGCGCAGCCACACCTAAAAATGTATGAATTTGATGTATTTATTAATGTTAATTTATAAATATAAATGCTAATATTTATTAGAAATAAACACGAACTTAAGATCGGAATATATTTATGGAATATATATAATATAAAACAGATTTACACTACACTAAAAGTTTGCGGTCAATGCGATTTTTTAAGGAAATTCATACTTTTGTTCAACAAGGACGCAATAAATTGATCAAAATGAACGTAAAGACATGTTATAAAATATTTCTATTTCAAATCAGTTCTGTTCTTTTAAACTTGTCATCAAAGAATCTAGAATAAAAATGTATAACAGTTTCCAAAAAATAAATAAAAAATTAGGCAGCATAAACATTTCAACTTTTCAAGAAACATTCATTTGTAAGAAATGTTTCTTGAGCACCAAATCAGCATATTAAGCATAATTCTTACCAAGGATCATGTGACACTGAAGATTGAAGTAATAATGCTGAAAATTCAGCTTTTCCATCACAGGAATAAATTACATTTAAAAATATATTCAAATATTTTAAATTAAATTTAAATTGTAATTTGGTGAGCAGCATAAAGAGACTTATTTAAAAAATATTTAAAAAATTGACTGACTCCAATCTTTTGAACTGTAGAGTACATTGCATTCGATATAAAATGAAACTATGTGGCATCTGCAAATAAATGACCTTTTTCAGAACTTCACTACAGATATTTTTACAATTAATTTTAACCATTTTTATTTATGTAAATCAATGACATTCATGCACTAATGTGTCTAAATACTGTTGAGGTTATTGTATGAGCGTTCCTTATTATGAACAAATACAGTATATTGTTCCTGCTCTTTGTGTTCGTCCTGTGTAGGTACTTCTATCTGTGATGGTGAGCTGGGCCGTTTGTGCCGCACTGGTGCGGTGGGGTCACGTCCATCTTACCTCTGTGACCCAGATGCTCTCAACAATCAGAAACACCACCTTCATTCAGTCCACCAACAGTCCACATTCATCTGAATTTGTCTTTCCTAATGACTCTGTACCCTGGCTGGACTTTCCTCTTCCTGGTAATATGAATATTTTTTTAGTTGCCTTGAAGGTATTAACAGTGAACCAGTAATAAACTTTGTCATGAGTTCCAAATTTTCCTTCTTCTTCAGATTTTCTTTGTTTCTTGTATACTTTCAGCCTCAGCACTCCCTCTGCTGTCTGGAAAGAGCATTGCCGCAGGAGTGGCTGGAGGCCTGTCTGCAAGCATTAGCTCTCCAGCTGTGTACGTGATGGCAGCTCGGCTCCTGAAGGCTCCTGTGCCCCCAGCACATGCCTGTAACAGGGGCCTGTGTGTGGATGGCATGGGAAGTGTGATCGCTGGCCTGATGGGGGCGCCACTAGGACTGTGCAGCAGTGTGTCTAATGCATGTGTTATTGGGCTCAGCCAGGTAAGAGTCTATTGATGCATGTCACATCGGTATTGTGATTGCTACTTCTGCCTAAAATTATTAACTCTTTTGCTGTTTATTACAACATCTCTTAATTATCCTTATGATGTCTTTTTCTCTCACAGTCTGGGTCCCGGAGCACAGTGCAGCTCGCCGGGGTGATGTTGTTAATTCTGGGTGTGTCTCCTCAATTAGCGCAGATGCTCTGCTCTGTCCCTCTTGCCATACATGGTGATTATTCATTTACAGTTTACTCAATTAAATGGTAAATGTTGCTGGTAACAATCAGGGGTGCGTTTCCCAAAAGCATCGTTAGCCAACTCTGGATGCAAGTTCCGTCGTTATAAGCAGTTCAACGAGTCTGTGTTTCCCGAAAACATAGTTCTAACGAACATTCGCAAACAGCATCGCAAAGTTGAGTGGTTGGAACGACAGATCTCGACCTGCGGTTAGAAGAATAGTTTCTTGTTTGCATGGCATGTGGACTCAATGAATCCTTATCTTGAGCCAAATAAGCAAGCTGACATTCATTACAATCTATATCTTATATTTAGAATACATACAAATGTCATTTAAGTCTTTAAGTTTGTCAAGAGATTTAAAGCGTCGTTTTTGAAGAGTGCGCATGTGCGAACGTGCTCTACTAAGAACGAGCCTATGATTGAATCTGGAAATAAAGCAAAATAACTGAGAAAAATTTGAAATAGACCTCAGATGCCATATCCGTATTTTATAGCAAAACATCTAGCATTAATTCGATCTCAAACAGATTAATTAAAAGTAGTTATTACTCCACCACCTGCGTGACATCATTAAGTTGTTTCAGTCTTAAAGTGCCTCTATTATGCTTTTTCAGATATTACCTTTCATGTAGTGTGTAATCTAGCTGGTTGTGAATGTAAAAGGTCTGCAGAGTTTCAAAGATCAAAGCGAACGATAAATGGAGTTATTCTCTCCCAAAAGAAAGAACCGGTTCTGAACTGCCTGAAACGAGTCGTCAATAATTCCATGAACCAACATAGGTTTGTAAGAAATTTGCACAATGCCAGCTTATGGACTTCTTTGGCTGCCCATGAACAACGTCTACTTTGACCCTCAAACACTGTAGTTGTAGCTGAGGCCTGGAAGAGTTTGGTTGGTGTTGTCGACGACATGTCGAGAAGAGCTGAAATTCAGGGCGTTTTGTGTCCGACACACGCTGTAAGCAGTAGACCAATCACAACAGACTGGGCCATCTGGCCAATCAGAGCAGAGTAGGCTCTCGGAAAGGAGGGGTTTAGAGAGACTGAATCTTTTATCGAACCGTTTCAGACACTGTGAGAAAAGAGCTGATGCTACATTGTATATTATGAGAAAATTAAAGTGTTTTTTGACCTTGGATGCATGTAAACCTTTTGTAGGAGACCTCCAAAACAAAATTATGTACCTTTAAAAAAAGGATAGTAGTGGACTTTAATAGCTGTCTGACACTGTATGGCTTTAAAAGCGTGGGCTGAATGTTTGCTTGTGCTCGTGTTCTCTCAGGTGCTGTGCTCAGTGTGACCTACGCACTTGCTGTAGCAACAGGCATAACTTATTTACAACATGCTGACGTGGATTCAGGACGCAACATTTTCAACATCGGCTTCACAATGTTCATGTCATTAGCACTGCCACGCTGGTTCAGACTTCACTACAGTTTTATACAAACAGGTGCTAAAATCACAAGAGTGTATTTTCTCCTACTGTGTGTAGTGTATTTGTTGATTTGGACATTTAATTGAAAGAATTTTCATCTTTATGTTTAGGTGTGGCCAGTGTTGACATTCTTCTTCAGTCTCTTTTAACCTTACCAGTTTTCTTTGTGGGGGTTTTGGCTTTTCTTCTAGAGCACACTGTTTCAGGTAAAACAATAGAGAAATGCACTATTCAAAAGTTTGAGGTTGGTACAATTTTTGGAAGTCTCTTAAGGCTGCATTTATTTGATCAAAAACACAGTAATATTATGAAATATTATTACAATTTAAAATGCATTTTATTCCTGTCATGGCAAAGCTGAATTTTCAGTCTTCAGTGTCACATGATCCTTCAGAAATCATTCTAATACGCTGATTTGGTTCTCAAGATACATTCAATTTGATGCATAAAAGTATACATTTCTTTCAAAACGGTAGTGTGCATATTCAGCACAAAAAAAGAAATCTTTGATTTAATGTATGTGATTTTTTTGTCATTCAGGGACTTTGTCTGAGAGGGGTTTGGCTAGACATGACGGCACAAAGAAGATTCTGTCTCTCGCTGATCAGCAGCAGGGATTCAGCCCAAGTCCAGACGCCATGTACGACCCGCCTCGGCCTGTGATGAAAGTGCTGGAGCTGACCGGCTTCCGGACCGTCCTCTTCTGTGCCTGCAGAAGCCCAACTGTTGAAGAGGTGCTGGTGACGGTACCAGAGATGTCTAGCTTATTACCTGACAAGGATGCCCGTGTTGGCAGTGGCTGAATTCTTGCAGCTCAGTCCATATTTTATTTTAATTTTCAAATTGTATTTAACTTGTCTCTTTCTGGTTTGCTTTTTATAAATTGTATTATGTTAATGACTGGTACAGTCTTCTATGACTCAAAGGCCCCCCACTGTCCAACACAATTTTTGATTAATTTATTTATTTAGTCATTTTTATTAAGTTAGATTGTTTTAACTTAATAATAATAATATATTAATTTGACATTCCCTGATTGAGAACCACTGTATTAAAGGGTTTGTTCACACAACAATAAATTCTCTCATTACTCACCCTCATGTCGTTCCAAACCCGTGAGACTTTTGTTCATCTTCAGAACACAAATTAAGATATTTTTAATGAAATCTGAGCAATTTCTCTTCCTCCATTGAGAGCTATGCAACTACCACTTTGACGTGTAAAAAAATTCATAAAGAGAACGTAAAACGAATCCATATGAATTTGAGCGGTTTAGTCCAAATTTTCTGAAGAGACTCGATCACTTAAAATGATGAACATATTTCATTTAGGCTTTAATTTATAATTAAGATCAAAGTGGCAGTTGCATACTGTAGCTGTCAATGGAGAGTACAGAACTGGCTCAGATTTTTATTAAAATTATCTTTGTGTTCCGAAGATGAATGGAATTCTTGACATGAGGGCGAGTAAATAATGACCAAATTTTCATTTTTGGGTGAACTAACCCTTTAATACACTATACATTTTAACGTGAACTTCTGAGAGCAGAGCAATTTTGTCAAGAGACAAAAAAAAAGACAAAGGCTGATATTTCCGTAATCTTTAATTCTGAAAAATAGATCTTTAAATAGTTTTACAAATATTATATAATTTCTGACATCTTTAAGTAAAATGTAAATAATGCCACAAAACAGATAAATACAGTAAGTTGTATGGGAAATACAATGAGTATTACTGCATAAAGCACACATAAGGACTACATAAACTGGCATAAACTCCAATAACATTGCTACACATTGCACATTAATTTCTTTGAATGAAGCCTTCATAAAAGTACTCAAAACCCTTATGTATGCTAGATGGAGAAATACATTGTACAATGTGACCATTAAATACTTGATTAAGTTGGGAAAGACACCTCTACCTTTACAGTGCGAAACATGTAACTGACCATATGAATGAACGCAAAACTGTAATTATGCACCTGCAAGTATTTTCCTGATGTTTTAAAGGCCTAGTTTTAACCCAGTTGTAAAGTGGGTGTGTTTCTGTGTACCTTCCAGCCTCGTTTCTTTTCTAACACAACTTCCTCCTCCGTCTCAAACCTTATCAGGCCGCGTTGGTCTGATCTGATCGCCTGTGGTTGAGTCACTGCATACCTGAGTAAAGAAAATTCATCTATAGTTTCCTCACTTCAATGGCTACAACTATGTGTTTAGTGAATGTGTATGTGAGTATAAGAGAGAAAGAGACTGAATAAGAGATTCTGAATAGATGTGTGTGCGTCTTGGTATATTTGTGATAATGTTCCAGTGTAGGCAGTATAGTAAACCCATTGAAAAGTGTTAAATATGGGTTTTTAAGATCAATTTTGTCACGTCCATGTCCGCTTCCTCAAATGAGCGTCGACCCACAGAATAGCTGCATCCTTCTAGTTTTTCCAGGTTTCTAGTCTATTCAGGGTCATAAATGATTGGGTTCTTCACTTCTTTCTCTTTTAGATCCTTTCAAAAACTTCATCTAGTGACATTCTCATTCCTCGTGCTTGTTTCATCTATCATTGTCCATCATGCTCCAAGGATGGAAGTGTGTTGGATCCAGCACATGAGTCCCAACCCAGTGCAGCAGTGAGGAATACCAGTGTATCCCCACAGCCTGATGTCCAACTGGCCCTCCCCAGTTATAAAGTACCCTGAGTGGACCAAAAGCCCAGTGAGCTAGCCAGTGCTGGTCCACGGCCGCATAGCAGGAGGAGACGACACTATTGACCACCACCGTGCCATGGCGGGTGAGCGGAGCGAAAACGCCCTTGTCCTCCTGTATTTGGATCCTAGTGACCCGGGACAGATGTCCCTGCTGTCCTGCTCCTCGTGTGGAAACCACACACTGACCCGGCAGCACGTCACTAGCAAATACAGATTTCAGCTCTGCACTCACTACAGGCCCTGAGCAGTTCCCTTCCGATACAAACAGGAGGTGGGCCGCCGTCAAGCTCAGTTTAGCACCCGAGTCCGTCTCGATGGTGTAGAACTGCTTCTCTGCGGAAGGATCGCGGTCCAAGAAGGCGATGACTTCGCTGTAGATGAGCATCCCACTGCCGTCGCTTTCTGATGAAGCGAGTACTTTCTCTCCAGGCTGTAAGCGGTCCATGGTCACCACGCTTCCGTCCTCAATGGTGACAAGAGCCGATGCGGGAAAACAACCGCCGGTTTTAGCAGCCACAGAGTTCTCTGAAATGCACATAGAGAGAATATAATGGTTGAAATGAGCGATAAAATTGCGGTTTTCTCTAGTGCGTCTCCTATGTGCACAGTAGCCTAAGACAATTCCAAAGGTCATGTGTTTATTAAAGATTGAGTTTGGGTTGTTTAAATGGCACAATGCCTTCTTCAGATTAATCTTCAATCTTTAAGACGCACACACCCAAGCACAAACACATTCCCGCTCTCATTGTAAACCCATAAAAATCCAATCAAACTGAAAGTTGCAGTGGCAAAATAACCTGGCGTGTGCAAGCAAACATTTCAAGCGCCATCCTTCAAGCTAATTCGTTTTTGCTTTTTTCCCGGTCAGTGGGTAAAAATGCAATAAAAGCTAATAAATAACCATCTCGGCTCTCTATGACTCCTGTCCGAAACAAGTGACTGGGGTCTGGAGCTACGCAATGCACTACAAAAACCAGAGTCTCAAGTCTCGGTGGAGTCCTACACAAATATTTGGGAAGGGTAAGTACCAAGGCCAGGTGATAAGACAGGCTGAGATAAGAGATCTGAGAAAGGGGACAACAGAGTTGCCGTCTGGAAAACAAAGGAGTTGGTTAATCATCTCACAGCACTTTGGCAGCCAGGCCAACTTCTTAAGGCATATTCTCTATCTTTCTTATATACACACATACATATTTTCCCTTATGCACTTCATAAATATATATTTATGAAGTGCATAAGGGAAAATATGTATGTGAACAGATTGTTTTGTTTATCTTTGAGCTTAGCTTCATCTTGCTTTATGTAAGAATGTGATTTTTCAGGCACTTACTTCAGTGTAAACATAAGAAAGAACTGTACATGAAATATAGGATGTATCTTTTCTGGTAAACTGCATATTTCTTATGTTTATACTGAGGTCAGTGCCTGAAATCTGGCAGTAACTGTCGAAGAAGCCAGCTGAAGAACACACCTATAGGACTTTGATAAAGCATAAGCAGACAAAAGGTCTTGCTTGTGTTTGCATGCTCTATCAGACAGATAACAGAAGTGCATCACAAATGTCCACACACAGGTCCCATTCCTCTCTAGCAGTGTTGAAATAATACAGACAAAAAAAAAAAAAAAAAAAAAAACTGACATTTTAGGCCATAAATCTGGGTCATAGCCAGACCCACAATGAATCTACAGAATTTACATTCTGTGGAATTCCGTAACAAATATTACATTAATGAAAAACAAGTTAAAAGGAAAACATGTACAATAATAAATATTATGAAGGAAGGATTATGCTGTTTTTTTGGCACAGATGTATTGTGTGCAATTTTGTATGTGTAAGTGTTGTAAGGATGAGTGTTAAATGAAAATGTACTTTCTTAGATTCTAAACTTGAAACAGATTATTTCAACCCATCTTCAATTAGAGCACAAAGCCTGATCTGCTGCGCAAAAGGTCTTTTTTCACCATGCAAAAAAAAAAAAGATAATGCAGGTCAAAAGAGAAACCTGCCAGAAGAGACAATAAAATACTAAATGGGTGCACTTTTACTTTCCTGGTTGTCTGGACAATAATTTGGTCTCTGGTGACTCACTCAGGTAGAGGCAGGTGTTTAAGGTTTAATGATGTGGTCTGTTACCTGTACCTTCATCCCAGGTCTACCACTTATCTCACCCAAGTTAATGAGAACTGACCAACTTAACCACAAAAGGACACACCTGATTTAACTGCACACTGAACGCATATGAACCTTTCAGTCAGGAGTCTCTTTACAGTTAAAACACCATATCAGACTGGACGCTTTTCTACTATCAGTCATAAACCTGATTAAAAATTCAGATCATATTCCAAGTTTAACCTATTAGATGTGTGTAGATGTTGCTTATTAATGAAAACTACTCATGTTAAATGAGGTCCACGGCTGAATGTGAAGTCATATTATTCTACACTCTTGAAAATAAAGGTTCCAAAAGGGGGTTTTCACCGCAATGCCATAGAAGAACCATTATCGGTTCCCCAAAGAACCTTTCAGTGAAGAGTTCTTAAAATAACTGTTTTGTTTCTTCAATAAAAGAACCCTTTTCCTCTATAAAGGACCTTTTGTGCATTGGAAAGTTTCCATGGATGTTAAAGGAATAGTTCAAAATGAAAATACTGTCATCATTTACTCACCCTTAATTTCTTTCAAACCTGTATGAATTTCTGTCTTCTGCTGAACACAAAATCAGATATTTTGAAGAATGTCGGTAACCAAACAGTTGATGGACCCCATTGACTTCCATAGTATTTTTTTTCATACTATGGAAGTCAATGGGCTCCATCAACTGTCTGGTTACCGACATTCTTCAAAATATCCTCATTTGTGTTCAGCAGAAGAAAGAAGTTCATACAGTTTTGAAACAACTTGAGGGTGAGTAAATTATGACAGAATTTTCATTTGTGTGAACTATTTTAAAGGTTCTTCATGGAACCATCAATGCCAATAAAGAACTGAGTGTATAGTACATTGGATTTACATATTTTACATATGGTTAAGAGGCATATAGTTGTAATGTAAATAAACAGAGTGATTTCCATAGTCTCAGCCCTACCTGACTTGACGCTGCAGTGGATGTGAGCTTTGGACTCATAGTAGACCCAGTCAAACCCGGCCTCCACCGCTAGACGTGCCAACATGCCATATTTACTACGGTCGCGATCTGAGGTGGTGATATCGACAGCTCTTCCTTCATAATGCAGTGACTCTTCAAAGTGATTGCCGTCTTCATCCCAACCCTCGGTCACCCTGAGCTTCACCCCGGGCCACATGTTCATCACAGAGATAGCCAGAGAGTTCAGCTTATCTTTACAACGCTGTGAACGCAACAAGGAAAGAGGTTTAGACCTGGGTTACACAAGTGGAAGATGATGGCGTGGAGTTTTGCAAGAAATACGCAAACAAGACAAGTTATAACTCCAAAGGGCAAAACAGACTGAATGACAAAAAACATACATCACAGGGCAAAGACAAAAGAGAGGAAGAATTGATACAAATGAGTGCTGTAAAAACAGAGCACATTATTCAGAGCTCTGCAAATGATGCTGTAAATGGTCATGGATCACCTTTAAAGCAAGGTGAAGTGTACGGATAAAAGACCACAAATATCACGTGAAATAAATCAACAGGCTTATCTCTAAATCGTATTTACATAAAGATGCATTTGATCCTTTTTAAGTCACTTTTTAGATACTATCATGAGTATATGTTTACGCTGTTTTGTGTCTTCCATGCAAAACTTTATTTCCACTGTATTCTTTCCAGCAATTAATAGGTTTGCTTTCCTAAATAAATAAGCATTTGTGCATATATATATATATATATATATATATTGACTAATATCTGTAGTCCTACTTTTTCCACATTAACATGTCAGACAATATGCCACAGTTTTTGTTTTTAACCCAGGCACCTCTATTTTATGCCTGAAGAATTTGTTTTCAAAAGCGCCCACGCAAAGCATTACATAATGACAAATGATTGAATCACGAGGAGAAGAACTGAGTGATGCTTCAAACCGCAAATACTGACTTATTTTTACCACACCACAGGTATTTTTCAGCGACCAAGGTACAAAATGTGTCCAAAATGTTGAGTGATTCACTTTTACTCGTTTAACCAAGCCACATTCACCACCATTTATAATACACAAGACAAATTTGCTTTTAACAGCAAATTCAAATTTCAGCATGGAAACAAGTGTTCATTGCCAAAGCACAGATATAGCCTACTGTAACTATAACCACAATTTCAGGCAATATCTGTTGCATGATTTGGAGCGGAAATAAGAGTCATAAGTTCAAATCCATGAGTCATTTATGATTTATTTATAAATTGCTTAAATAAACCACACACTAAATGGAAAGTTGACATATTTTGAAACTGTCTAATAAGTCAACTTATATATAATTTTCGTTTTAATTTTATAATTTTAAAATTATATAACTTATATATAATTTTCGTCACAACTTTTTTTGACAGGTCCAAGATTTTCCTTGGATGGGAAAACTTGTATGTTTCAAGGAGAATCTTCGTAAGTTCAACACAGAACTGTTCTTTAGTCGTTTAGTAAACACTCTATTTAAAGACACAAATATGCTAAGAATCTCCAATAACATAAACAAGCGAATCAAGACGTTTGTTTTAAAAGCATACGACTCTTTTCTGAACCCGAGAACCATCAAAGAAGCGATTCTAAGAGACAAACCGCTGTCAGCAATCAATTCCTCTGAAAGCTGTGAAGATCGATAAGAGCGCGTCGGTGGGACTGAGCAAAGGGCACACCGCTAAACAACAGGTTTAAAGTGCTTGCAATCGAATCAAAACCATAGTGTGTGTGTTTCTAATGGGCAGATAATTGAATTCATTCCAGTTGCATTATCCAAGTGTCGCTCACCTGCGTCATGTGTCGATCCGCACCTGTGTTCTCCTCATCTTTGAAGATGATGTCGGGGTTGTAGTTCGGTGTGAGATCTTTAAAGCGCTCGGAGATCCTGGTGATTTTGCCATCGTGTCTCCCACTGGCTCCCAGTGTCTTTTCAGCTACATTTGGAATAAACTGCTTATAATTAAGGGGTGTCAGTTTCTTTGGAGGCCGCCTTTTCCCATGTCCCCTCCCCGGCCCACAGCCCTCGTTAACAGGTGCGAAAATCAGGGCGCAGCCGACGAGGAGCCCAAACACCACGGGGAGACGCATTCCACCCCAACCCGCCGGGCACTCCGACACGGAGTGGGACGGTGGCACAGCTCGCCGTTCAATGAGAAACTACCCCCCGCAAGATCCTTATTCCCCCCCACGGGGTAAAATATGGGGAGGACAAAACCTCTACTTCTTTATCACCCTTATCCTCGCCATCGTCCGTGCGTAAAAGTCGCTTTGCGCAGAGGCTGTCATGGAGAGACGCCGGAGAAAAGATCCAGTGATACCAAGTGTTAAGTGCCCATCGAATGCGAAACGTAGGTCTCTCGAGAAAATCACCGAAATGAGAGTGAGCAGGCAAGTCCATTTATTTATCTAACAGATTCTAAGAGAGAGATACAGGGCGACTCCGACGCACACTGGGAGAGCTGTCAGAGAGACTGCTGCGGCTGCTGTCTTTGAATGAGCACGTCCTTTGGCGCACGTCAAGTGATCTGAGTTGCCCGGCGCACTGAGACCGCACCCTGCCAGTTTTTTGCCCCTCTCTATCCCTGCCTGCCACTCCTCCCCATGGGTCACATTGGGTGCGTCGTATACCCACCGGCTCCCTTTAACACTTCACAGCGCCTGGCTGGGCAAACACAAGTCTCGGGGAAGAACTGTGGACTCAGACTCTCCCATTCATAGATCCACAAATAGAGAACGAGCCTGGCTGCTCCTCAAACAAACGGGAGCAACTGTTGCCCTCCCTTACCTGATACGCTTAAGGAAACACAGTAGACTAATCTGGCGCAATCGTCTGAATGATTTATCATTCATTGATCAGAACAGATCCGTTTGTTTAAACCGTTCAGTTTTGGTGACAGGTGTAACGATGCTGCTTATGAGTCAAAGCGGATTTTTTTTTCTGATCGATTAAATTATTCTAAATTAGATCAATTAAAAGTCGAAGTGGTGTTTAAAGTAATATGGTCTAGACTGTAAATAAGAGAAAAATGCTGACATTCTTAAAAAATAAAAATGTTTGCATAAATAGTTTGGCAATGCAGTGGCTTAAACATAAGCCACAAATCAGTTGTGTTTTAAAATTATCATTAATATTTTAAAACACTTATTTGTACAACCGAGCAAATGTGGTGTAACAAACATGATGGAAGCCATTTTGTTATCATGTGACCCCTTTAGCCCCTCATGATGTAAGATCATTAAAAAACAATTATATTTTACTTATTAAATGTAATAACTCTCTCCATATGTATTAATTTGTGATATTTATATGTGTGTGTATTCGTTTATATTTACCATCACAATTAAAAAATAAGGATATTTTCATAGTTTTTTACTCAACTCTAAAAGGGTATAACAATCATTAAATCTAAATTTGTGTTAAAAAAACATATATATATATATAAACTTTAAACATATATATGAGCCTGACCTGGACAGAAAGAACATATTTTAAACTGGATTTTTAAAAGATTTCTCATTTGTTTGGGCATCCTTTTTTACCCTGACGCTGATGTTTTTTTTTTTTTTTTTTTGTGTTTTTTTTGCTTATTACAGTCTCCAGGTTACATGCACATCAGTTGCTCAATGGTTCTTATTTGTATCAGATATTATGATACAGAGCTCCAGTGTGTGCTGGCCTGTGCTGAGGTAATGGGTAGTGGTGGGACCTGCATGAGGGGTTCACTGTTCAAATTGAAGATGAAGCTGGTAAAGTCAGTAGCATATAGCTTGGAAGATTGTTACACAGGAGCAGCTCTATTCTACAGCACTGAGAGAAGACGCTCCACTTACACAAGTGATGACTGTGTGGATATAGCCAGCGGTCAGCACCTTAAGAACAGATATATCCACTACACTCAAACTCTGTTCAATTTCTCTTTAAATGAGGCAAAGGAAACAGACCCAAGTCTTCCAAATTAGCTCTGCAAATATTTGCCGGAAAGGGGCTAGTGGTTTTGTGCCCATTTCAAAAGCAAATTTAACAGACGTGGTGTTTGGTGTTGATTTATTTTTTAATTATTTATGTCTGTAAATATCAAAGTATTTTAGGTTTGGGTTTTGGTGTGTCCTCATTTGGAACAGGGAGTTAAAGAGAGTAATTGAGCGGGTGAGGAAAACACTACTGTCACTCTTTCAATCAAACTGCCACCTTGACCACTTGGTACAGGTCAGTGTGAAACCATGTGGCCATCTTACCCATCCCTCATTCCTACCATCATGGCGTAGTATATGTTTCTCAAACTATTCATTCAATAGTTTGTGCTTTCCCTTCTTCCTTCATTCTCTCTCCTCCTCTATTCCTTTCCTGCCAGTCGTTTTAAAGCCTTATTTATGTCAAACTACCTGTTACCTTAACTGGACCAATAAACAAGCTTGATGGATGGCCAGTCCATCACAGAGCTAACACACATAGACATACACACATTAACAGACACATCTTTTTGGATTGTGGGGGAAACAGGAGTATCTGGAGGAAACCCATGCCAACATGATGGAGAACATGCAAATTCCACACAGAAAAGCCTCCTGGAGTCCCAGGCTGTGTGGAACATTGTTACCCACTGAGTCACCCGGCTACCCTGTAACGGATTAATCTAAATATATATTCTTAATATGAAATAATCACTTCAGTTACAGTCACTAAAGTATTGAAGAACTTTTGCAAAACTCTTCCCTAAACTAGGTAACATAGTTCCACTATCACACCTTTCACAGATAGATGGTTTTATCTACTGATGCACAAGTCCTCATGAGATCCAGGTACGCTTAAGCAGTACCAGCATGCATAAATGGAATGCAATGGATAAACTTGTTTTCAAATTTTTGCATCTTGACTCTGGAGATCACAGAGACACAATTACAGAGCGTGTGGATCCCACGGAGCGTGTCCTCTTCCCTTTGATGGACGTAAATAAAGACATGGCTCCTAGCAGGCCTGCTTATTGAACTTGGCTGTTGACAATGCCTCAGAAGTGGTCAGATCCAGTCAGAAATCCCTTCTGCCCTCAAGAAAAGAGCCCACGTCCTTAAAGGCAGCACATCAGCGGCTGTTCCCCGTCAACCGGGCGATGGCAGTGGTTCAGACGCCAGCCCAGGCTCTTTTAGCAAGAGTCCATTGATGTAGCAGAGTTATTAATTTGTCCTGTGAAATAAGAGGACACCCGGGCCAAAACAGAGGGAGATGGGTGCCTTTCAAATAATGCCAGGCAGGGAGCCTTTCATCTACTGTCAGTGGGGTGAGTGAACTGGGTCTGCTGGGTTCTCACATGGGCACCAGGGCTACCCACGGAACTAACCAACAAAGGGTGTGCAGGAGGGACAGGGAGAGCGAATGCTGAAGGGGAGGAGGAGAAAGAGAGAGAGCGAGAGAGAGAACATGGGCAACTTGGTGTTTCTCCACTATTAACTGGTAAACAACTCTGTTTTTAGTTGTTTTCGTCCTTCGGAATGGCGTTCTTGTGGATTGTGGTGGGATTCGGTGTTCTGTGAGCCGCTCTTTCACTCCCCTCAAGGTAATGGCAGCTTTTTTTCCCTCACCACTTCCTGCTGTCCATAACAACCTCAGGGGAAAGAGGGACAGCGCCCTTGAACTGCATGATAAATCTCATAGGGTCTTAACAGCCTCCATACTCCACTCATTCTTCCTTCGGTGGAAGCTGAAGGCGATTTCCCATGTAATCATTCCCAGAAAAAAAATGTGCAAAAATTGTACCTTTAGGGGTAAAACACTTGGGCGTTACACTTAAAGGGACAACTTTGTACCTTATCTATCCCTAAAACAGGGGTATCCAATCCTGCTGCAAGGGCAATATCCTTCAGGTCCAAAAGCTTAGGTCCAATCCTAATTAAACACCTGAACCAACTAAAGAAGGTCCTCAGGAATTATAGAAACTTACAGTCAGTTGTGTGGGGCAGATTGAGCTAAACTCTGCAGGAAAAGGACTGGACACCCCTGCCATAAAAGGCTCATATTAGTACCTTAAAGTGGTAATATGTACACTTACTAACATACTAACTTGTACCTTTTAGGGTTAAATAAGGTACAAAGATGTCCATTTGAGGGTACTGCCCTAGTGACAAGCTGTTGTACCCCTGAAGGGACATTTTTTGCACATTTCTTTTCTCTGAGGGAGAAAGGTGTGTTCCATTTTGAAGACTTCTTCATTGGTCTATGCCATATTGTAGCATAAGATGTGCTGACTGTGTGTTCACACTGAAAAACATCAATATTGAGACAAAGGTACACTAGATGACATGGTGTGGAGTTTATGTGCACAGTGCAGTACATCATTTGGGACGCAACTTCAGTTAAGGGCACCTGAATCCCAACTTCACTAAGCACTCATGACGACTGAAGACTCTGGAGGCCTCTATTTTGATTGGACCAGAGACAGGAGATGTCACAGAATTCTTCCATGCATGCAAGGAGCTGTGCAGCGTCAATGTCCGATTACTCCATTCCTCCACATGCAGTGAAGCACGAGGAGTGGTTGGGGCAGTCACAGCTGGAGCAAGCAGGGAAAAAATAATACCAGAGATGTATAAAAGCAGAGGCTAAAAGCAGACTGAGCTTAGCCGCCTGCTAAAAAAACAAAGCACTGCCCAGGGGACAGGCACAGGGTCGGGCAGTGTGGACCGGACTCGCCACAGCCGCGTCTCCACACGTTAGTGCTCCTGCCAAATGGCTGTAATTGAGGCCTAAAGTCAAGAGCCCTGAATAACTCAATGCATCAATAGCAGCCTGTGGGACCTCCCCCCTCTATGTTTCTCTTTACCTTCATAGCCAACCTGAAACCGCTTTCTTTCTTTTTTTTATGGTTGAGCTTAAACCTCACTCACCTCCATGGCTGTTGTGACCTTTACTCTTGGCTAAATATATTGTAAGATGATGAGATGAAAGGTGGGTTTCAGTGTTTCTGTATCTAGAATAACCTCTGTTGAAGCTTTCTTTCAACTGTGGGATTAAAGAATTTTTGTTATCAACTAATGCAGCACGTTTTTAAATCTAATTAAAATGTATTGCTTGTCAACCAGAATTCAGGTAAAGATGTCGCTCTGATTGTGGCCTATTCTAAAAGAACTCAGAAAAGTCAAATCTGATAACAATAAATATTGATAACGATAAAGATGGCAATTATGTGAGGATGATGCCCAGTTCTGTGTGCGTAAGTGATGGCTGTAGAGTAGGGGTGGAACGGTACATGTATTCGTATTGAACCGAAACGGTACGGGCGTCACGGTTCGGTGCACGAATTTGCACGCAGAATACACGGTACAAAAAAAAAAAAAAACTCTTAAATAGCGATAAATTTCGCTCTATTCGCTTTTGGTGTGACTGTTAACGCAGCAATGAACAGGCTGCGATCAAGATTGCAATGCAGGAGTGTGTGTGTCTGTGTGCGCGCGCGAGAGAGAGAGAGAGAGAGAGAGAGAGAGAGAGAGAGAGAGAGAGAGAGAGAGAGAGAGAGAGAGAGAGAGAGAGAGAGAGAGAGAGAGAGAGAGAGAGAGGCGCGATGAACAGTGTGTGTGTGTGTGCGAGAGAGAGAGAGGCGCGATCGAACAGTGTGTGTGTGTGTGCGAGAGAGAGAGAGGCGCGGGCGCGAATCGCGCGATGAACAGTGTGTGTGCGCGCGCGTGCGAGAGAGAGAGGCGCGGGCGCGAATCGCGCGATGAACAGTGTGTGTGTGTGTG